GGTAAATACCCTCAGTGCTAAGGGTGTCAGTTACTCTCCTTGTGTCCCTGATATTGAAACCACTCTGCATACTTGACCCCCTGCAGAAAACATCTCAGTTCTACAGTTTTAGATTGACCTTAGCATTTTCAAGTGTTTTATAAATAAAGCATGAATCATACAAATGATGATTTAAATAATGCAAGATATGTGCACATTAATGAACTAAAGATTTCTGTGAAATTTTGCCTGCAATGAAATGTCATAGTCAATAGTTGTCCATAGCCAATAGTGTAAAAATGTTTGAAGCACAGCACAGACAGAAGTTACTTTCAAACCAAGTGGCTTTCCGTCGATCAAGGGCAAATTGCCTTTACCAACTTGAACCCGATGCGAAATCTGCATTGGGACATTTTTTGCCCTCTTGCAGAATTCCAGATCACCTGCATTCCTATTGAAATCACTGGATTTTGCCTATGAAAATTTGGCGAACAATGCTAAATGTGAACGCACCTTTACTTGTGTACTAGAAATAATGGCAAATAGTGACATTGTGGGAAATTAAGTGTTGTTCCACCCTGGTTCATAAAATGAAAGCTAACCAATTATAGTGAAATATATAAATGTAATAGGATATATCTTTTTTGCAAGGCCTATAAAAAGTTATGCTGGTTGCAATTATAAAATTATGATTATAAATTTATCTTAACCATGCTTTCTTAAATGAAAATTTCTACAATTCAAGTTTCAGTGTTGCGCAACATCTAGTCATTCATTGTTTTTCCCCCCCGATTATTTATTTGTTTCTGACTTGAATATGTTGACTTTCTGACTCGGATGTAAGAGCTTCCTTGGTGCACTTGACTAGTGTTTAACCTAAGAATGTGTTTCCCTGAGATGGATTAGGTCATGGTTCTGTTGAGGAAGACTACAGGAAAATGTGTGTTGATGTTGCTAAAACCAGATTGGGGCTGCCAGTTCAAAGTGTAAAGGAATTGATCGTTCCTTCATTGGTGTTCCTTTTTGATGCGCAGGAAATGGCTGCGTTCAAATTTATTTTAATGTTTTACATGTATGGAGAGTTCTTACAAAGCAGTGTGCAGAGTCTTTTTCCTCTGACCTTGGCCACCCTACCTTTAGCACACATGGAAAGCATCAGTGTCAACAGCAAGGGCATTAAGATTTGAATCCCCTTTTCTTTGTAGTTGGATTTTTCTCTGTGGTTCTGTTCATCTCCTTCTAGTCGATGTAGCTTCAGTTCCTTTGAATAAAAGCTAAAACAACACCATCAATGTCCCCCTCGTGTCTCAGCTCTCCTGAAACCACGTCAGGCACCGTGAGGCCAGCAGCTCCTCGTGTCACTCCAACACTCCTGGAGTTTATTTTGCCTACAGCTGACCTCGCTGGTGATCTGTGGCCAAATTTAGTTTGGACAGTTGCCACCTTAGGGAGAGCAGTAGATGTCATTAATCAGGGCAGGTCCTCTCCTCTCAGGATCCAGGTCAGGGAGGGAGCATTATTGCTCTTTCACTCTCTCGTGAATGCTCAGAGACGAAAGCAAGTAAATTCCTGTCATCTAATTTAACTTAACCTCCCACAGGCTGCAAGCCAACCCAAGACTACTGACAAAAAACCAGCCAGGTCAAAGCATGTGGTGTCAGTAGAGGAAGATGATGAGGAAGAGTTGGGTGGGTCCACACCAAACAAAGTCTGGAGCAAGACCAAACGAGAGACACACAAGCAGGTATAATAAAAAAAACGACAACGGAATATTGGTTCTTGTTGGCTAGATGATGTGGGGTGCATTTTTTTAAAGGTTTGGTCAATTTTGTTTTACTGAAAAATACATTATTTTACTATAAATTCTATTGTATTTTACTTTTAAATATTATTTCTGACAAAAAAAAAACAAAAAAACTACAACTTATCTGTCTAAAAGCTAAATCTCATAAAGTGAAACACCTAAAATATCACACTTCAAAAATATCATAAGAAATAAAATTGGAAGATTTTTCTGTTTGTACATTGTTAGCAGATTGTGTGAAAAAGTTCAAAAGAACAACATTTATTTGAAATAAGAACATTTATAAATGTCATTACTTTCATTACTTTTTACTGACCCCAAACTTTTGAACGATAGTATAGTTGTCATATATTAGGAAGAGGGTCTCTCACAAAGGTATCATCTTATTTGGAAGTCCTTGGTATATACATGTAGTGTTATCATTCAGTGGTTTAATACACTCTCATTGGAATTATTTGTTGGTGTCATCTTTACAGAGACCAAACAAAGGTGACATGGCTGCTAAAAGAAGTGCTAGGCAAAGGTCTATGCCTAATGACAGTGATGAGGACCTCAGTGATGAAGATGAGCCCGTCCCTCCACGAGTTCATCCTAGAACAAGAGCAGGAGCACGACACAGACAGGAACACGAACAAGTAAAACCAACAGTAGAGCACAGGCCAAATGACAAATAGACCACAGTCAATCATTCACATCAAAAAGTCATAGGAAATACAAAAATGCTTTGCAATATTTATTGTTTGATACAAACGTGTATTACCAGATCTAATATTAACCCTCTCCTTTATGGTTCTTATAATGTGAAAATATCAAATTTGCTCCAACAACACAGGAAAAGAGGAATGCGGATGTTTACAAGGGAAAGACCTGGTTGACCATGAGGGGGAAACAAAACCGTCACTATAAGAACCAGCAAAAACATACTCAAAAACTAAATGACGACTATGCAGTCCAATGGGAGGACACTGATGATGATGATGATGATGGAGACCACTGGGGAAGTGATGTCTGTGGATTGGAAGATGAATGGACTCGGTACCATCACAAAGATGGCTTTGGAAAGTCAAGAAAATGGCACAGAATGTTGATCTTCCTTCTTGTTACGATATTGACTGTTGTTGGTTGTTGGTATTATCCTTACTGGAGCCGTAACGCCATATGACCACTACTCTGAATGAACAGACTGTTGTTAAGCGTTTCCTGTGACCGTTTTCACTGTGATGGGCTGAAAGAATATATATGAATGGATTTATAAATTGGCATGTTTTTTTTGCACTAGAAATGTAATAATATTTTAATTGAAACTGAATTGTGAATTTTAATAAAGTTCTTTTCTTTGCTATATTTGTGTGATAGAGTTGAATATTACCTTGCTGCAGTAAGGACATTCTCCAAACACAATATTGAAGCTTTGGCGACTGGTGGGCAGACCTCTCAGCCACTGTGAAGACAAATATATCAATAAAAGATTTAAATACCATACAAACACTAACAAATTGGACATTTTTAGGAAATTGTTTTGCGATTGTTCTGTTTGAAATACTGTTAAACTGATTTGCTAAATCTTAAAGCGGTTACCTCATAAAGACACACTTGATGGAAAGGCTGGCCACAGCGCGGATCATTGCAGACCTGATCTGGAATATCTGACTCAAGTCGATAAGAGTAGCAGATGCCACATTCAACACTGAAACTCTTGAGTACACAACCACAAAATTAGATGAGCTTTCACATGTAGTACAACTCGAACTGTCAGTAAAGTAAAAAAAATGAAGTCTTAGTTCTCCCAGCAATGACATTTTTGTCATCATTTATTCACATTTGTGTTGTTTTAAACCTGAAGGATTTTTTATTTTTCCTTGGAGAACAAAAGGAGAAATTTCTAGGCTACAAATCTTCTGGTTATTCTTATATGCAATTGCAATGAATGGGGATAGATGCTTCCCCCTCTAATAAGCAGTGTTTGTTAGCTACATTTAAATAAAAGTAGGTAATTTAAGTAAAGCAGAAATAAATAATCCATCCATCCAATGTCAACTCACTGACTCGGTGATACTGTGACTGGTTCACAGAGTCATTGAGCTGATCATGTGAATTTGTGATTGAATCACTTAAGATTGAATCAGTTTTTGTGAATTGGATCAACCAAATCAATGAAAATATCTGACACAAAAAAAAATATGTTTCATCATTCAGGACTACTTTTCTCATAAATGTGCCAAATTTCAGTAAATAATGAAGCTACTGACTTCAGAAAACATATCGCACGAACCCCTTTTTTTATTATTTAATTAATAAATTGTTGTCCATTCCAACAATCTGACCAGCACTGTACATTTATCAAAATGTCTCCAGCTGTGCTCCACAGAAGTAACTCAGAAAGTCATACAGGTTTGGAATCACATGAAAGGTGAGTACATTTTTCAGTTAATGATTACAGGAAAGACTCTTACGGAATTATAAAAACAAATGAAAAGCATCACTTCACATATTTTGTATCCCTGAGTCTGATCTAAAATTCTGTATTTGAGATTCACTCTGCCTGCTGGTGCACGACAGCTCATTTGTTCCCACAGGGTGGACTCATCAACCCTATATGTGCTTGACCCTCACTTCACACAATCCTCAGACACCTCAGCCAGGCTAGATAATCTTTACACGCCCCCCCCCCCACTGCTCCACTGTCCGTGTTTGCATATTGCTGTTCAGATAATTAGTTGTTTTTTTCCCCTTTCTTTTTTTTTCCCTGAGCCATCCATTAAAAGGATGGAAGATAAAAATTTCAACATCTGGACAAGTAAACTTTTCTCGCTTCAGAATGTTAATGATGGTCAAGAATTAATCTGCGGTACAGACTATGAATAAACACTGCGGCCTTTCAACCTGCGAGCTGAAAGAGAGAAAGCATAAAAAATGCACACAGGAAAAAAGATAAATGGCGGAGCTATGATTAAACAGCTCTTGATAGTGCCGAAGATTCTGCCACCTTTGTTATTGTAATGATCTTATCTGTAAACAACCCAATTAAAGGAAATCCGTACCCACCTCTCCCGATGATAAAAACAAAGAGAAAAGGAGGTGGGGAAAAAAAAAGAACACTGCAAGCTTTAAATGTGATGGTGCTGTGGAACTAATTGTAAGTGGCAGTGTATGAGACGAAAATATGCAACGTACAGATTTTTCGTGGGTGGTAGGCGATGGAAATTCTATCTCCAACACATCCTTCATATTCTGTAGGACACTGCAGTCAGGGTTCCTATGAGGAGAGGAGGAAATCAGACCTTCATGCACTAATTAAACACATACAGTCAAGTCATGATGGTATAATGAATACAGTTCAGTGATTACTGCCCAAAAAATCCAGGATATCACTTTGAGAATCAACGTTCTGGGCCAAAACATTCTCACCACGGGGTTTCAAATTCATTTTATGCTGTAATACATACATCAACTGAAAACTGTCTGCGGTGTGCACATGAAATAGCAAATTTGCATCGAAATATGCAACATCAACTTTGATTTCTCATTAATCATTTTCAACCTCCTTGGGAAAAAAAATGAATTGGAAAATAAGTTTGCTTACCATAAATGCATATTGGCATTCAATTTATTCCGTAAAGGAGTGACAACTGAAAAACATAAGCAAGACTTCAAATTATTAGCAGATTTGTGGTAACGAATGCCAAAAGTATAGGTGCCTTAGTATTAGGTTGATTTAAAAAAAAAGTCTAACAAAGTCTTTATATAATTTTAGTAGTATAGACATAATTTAGTTCCCACAAATATGCACAACGGTTCAAATGTGTAGGGTCGGTTAGATTTTTAAAAATGTTATGCTCACAAAGGCTGCATTTATTTTATCTTCTGTGTCACACGATCCTTCAGAACCATCATACAATTTTTTTTGGATTCTTTGAATAGAAAGTTCAAAAGAACAGCATTTATTTGAAAAGGAATTTTTTTAAACGTTATAAATGTCTTTACTAACTTTTGATCAATTTAATGATCCTTGCTAAATGAAAGTATGAAATGCTGAAAAAAATACTGTAAAAAAACTAATACTGTAAAATAAAAGTTTTGATATATATATATATATAGAGAGAGAATCAAACCGTTTTACTTTTTTTTTACAGTATTGGTATGTTGATGACCCTACAGTAAGCTGTTATCTGTTCTGTCACATCTTCAATTATTCATTATCAAAACCTACACACTTATTTATGTTTTTGTAATAGCAATACACACACTGGACTTCATAATGTTTGCAAAGCACTGGGGGACAAAAATGCCATCAACATAAATCATATCAATCAATCTGCATGGCAAAAACAAGCCCGAGGGAGAGTTGTATATGAAGGCAAGAACTGCACTCACCCCCCCTAATGTAGCCGAGCAGTTTCAATTAACTCTACCTCATCTCTCATTCAGCGTTCCTCACCTGATCGCAGAACGCTGACAGACAATGCACGGCCGCGTCATTTCTTACCTCTAATCTCTATTCTCTCGTAGAAATGCCACAGCAGCGCGGGCGAAAGAACAGGACATTTCCTACGGTGACAAACAGTCTGACAGAAAGGGAAATATTCAAATAATTCAAATAAAACGCGCTCATCATGGCTGTTCCACCCGAGAGATCAATCTGGGAGGGACGTGATAGCCGCACTCTCTGTTTGTCATTTGTAAATGCAAAAAGCAATATTTCTGTCTGACCCCGCGCTCGGAGGGTCCGCGACTGCCACCGTCTTGACTATTGAAGTGTGGATTTAATATCAATGAATAACATTGCTAGGCAACCGACAATGTGTTCTGTGTGCCATTGTCAGCCAAGCATGACCTTGGATTTAAAGAAACAATCACGGCGGCTTAAATAGTGCAAACTGACCTCCATTCCAGCACCATCTCACTCGAAATCTAAAAGCACATTGCGCCGCAAACATATTGCGGGCTGTCAGCTCAGCCGCTCCAGCTGTAACGGTCCTGTCTAAATGCAGTAAAGCATTTACAGCATGTGCACTTATGTACGGAGGTAATTGAAAAACAAGAGCAGGAGAGGGAGGCACGAGTTCCTCACAGACGAGCTGCCTCTCACATGCAGGAAACCGTAATAAAAGCTGTATGGAGATAAACAGAGAGATTTGCAGATATGAAAAATGCCTACCGTGCTCAGCCCCGAGCAAACAGCACTCCGGCAGCATTTTGGGGTGTCTGGGGTCAATTTGTACCTTTATTGAGACATTGTTTCCTGGGGAAGAACAGCAATATGGCAGCTTAATATCACGGGAAATCATTGTTGATGGGCATAGTTGGATGGATGGCAGGAAAATGTGGTGATCTGCAAATAATGAGATTCAAATGTAGTAATATGAATGTAATGTTACCGATGGCGATCCTTCTCATGGAGTCTGCTTTTGTGGGTTTTTCTGGTTCCAACACCCACGTCTGGTCATCTATCTCATCCAGAACCGACCAGAACTCGGACAGAGCCTCAACGTTTATCAGGAACTGACTGTGGACAAGGGCCAAGGTGCTCTGGGTGTAGAAGAAAGGGCAATAAATTAGTTTCGAATGTATTTTTCCTGCAGGAGAGTTGGTTTTTGACTTCATTTAAAGGGACAGTTCAAACAAAACTGAATATTCTGTCATTGTGGAATTTTTTTTAGTTAGTTTAGGCTTTGCAAGTACACCGTTAAGTTGTGGTCCCATTAGCATGTTGGTGAACGTTCACAGGCAAAAAAGGTCCATTGTCTATTGTCAATAGTGTTGCTCACACAAAAGTCACTTTCAAACCAAGCAGCTTTCTGTTGGTCAACGTGTAAATTTGAGTGCCCAACTTGAACCGGTTGTGGAATTTGTGTATGGAAATCTTTCACCTTCATGCGAAACTCTAGATCATGTGGATTTTTCAATTGAAATGACTTAAGTTCGGCTGCGAAAATTCGCCAAACAATGGTAAATTTGACCACACCTTTAGTCAATTAATCTGCTAGCTAAATCTGTACCATATAGAAATGTTCAAATGATTCGTTGTTACACTTTTCATACTTATTAAATATTTTTGTTTGATCAGGCATTATGGAAAAATGGCTACTCACTGAGGTCCTAGGCGGACTTAACCAAATTGTTAACCAGTGTAAACCAAAATTGCAACCGAACTTGATAGCCAATGATACATTTTCATTGTATGGAAAAAACAGGTCTGATGTTTTGCTCTACAGCGGGAAAAAAAGAACGACATAAGGGTGGGTAGATTACAGGATTTCCAGTTTAAAGTTGCAATGAAACGGAGGTAGTGACAAATCTTTTCTTTAGTATTGCGACATCCATCCAAGTGTAACGTCTTACGCAAGAAGAAAAAAAGAGGTAGGCCAGGGACTTAGTTCTATCCATTGGTTGTTGGTTGGACCTGAATGTGAGCTTGCAATCAATGTTTAAGCAGACTAAATGATTGGAGAACTCCAGCATACTTCACCAGAGTGAAGTCTGTCATTCCACTGGATTTTTGATTAGAAAATAGAATAAGATAAAAAAAACCCAAAAAACCCCCCAAAAAAAACAGGCATGGATGATTTGTTACCAATAAGATCAATATCATGCATTTAGAAAATAGATGATAGAACATGCATTTAGCAAATATATAATAGATTTCATTAAATGCCAACTTAAATCAAATGATCTTAAGTAGGTGTAAAACGATTGTATTGACCATGTGCATGTTGCATTTACAGTAAAATCCAGTAAAATCCACAAACATCTGTTTGAATGGACATGGTGCCTCTCAGAAGTGCCTAGATGCTAGAAATAGTATCCTTTTAAATTCTCATGCAACTCTTGATATGCAGGAACAACATTGTTTTTTTTCTCTCTTTTTTTTCTGACATTGGCTGAGCTGTCTTTAATAACTCCTGAACACTTCTGCATATGGAAGATGTTGATACTGTCCACATGTCTGGTTTCATATCACTGCTTTATACAAACTCTTCAGCCCTCTGCCATCAACACTCGGGGAGGAAAAGGAAAAAAAGAAACATTTCCACTGAAGTCTTGCCAAGTCTTCATCAACGACCTGTCAACAAACCATTGATTAAAGCACCAACCAAGAACAAATCAAATATAAAAAGTGACTGAACAGGAAAAGACCAAAACTCATACATCAGCAAACAAGAGAAATTCAGCGATAGCGTTTGATCACTGAGAACCACAGACGACCCATCTACGGTTCGGCATAACGGCTTCCTCTAATTCTAACATATACAAACACAGTAGGCCTCTGTTTCCTTTGGAGCTGTCCAGTGGTGAGGCAGAGCTAATGGTTTGAGTATGACCGCTCATAAATCACAGCTGATGATTGACAGCTGATGGAGTTTGGCCCCGTTTCACTCCACGCTGTCAGAGTGAGGGCGTACAGGTCGCCCACGCCGCTCTGACCTCCGACCCACACTCCTCGCTTTCCACCGAGCTGCCAACTCAAGGTCTTTAATCTCAGCCCAGAATCAGAACGCTTTAGTCTGGACACCAGATCCTCTCTGCTTTTTTAGTGCTGTCTAAGATGAATAGGCTTATTTAGTGTGAAAGAGATGACAGCAGCTGAATTGAAATTTGTGTCATCAAAACTTTCAAACATCCCAAATGATGCCACTGTACGCAATGAAGTTTGCAAACATCGCTGAAGGTTTACATCCCAATTTAAATTATGGAAAATATCATTTAATTATCTTGTCAATTTTATTAGGGCTGTCAAAGTTAACTTAAGATATAAATCAAATATGCAATAATATACATTTTTAATTCATTAAAAACACCAAAAATAAAAGATTAATTGAGATTAATTGTAATAATTATTCCACTGACAGTTTTAACAATAAGAAATATAAAAAACGAACTCCATCCTTTATTTTAAAGGCTAGAATAAATAAAATAAGATAAAATATTAATATATTTATACATTAATAATATATATATATATATATATATATATATATATATAATATCTTTTATTGTTTTGCTTTACTGTATATATTTTTTATTTTATTTAAACAAAGTATTTTTTCTCATCTTTTATATTTCCAGATGGGGGTCCCTCACAAAGACGGCTTCATCATATTTGGGGGCCATAGGCATCAGAAAGTTTGAAAACTCTTGCTGTAGTCAGTCAAAAAATCTGCAGCGTAATATAAAGATAATGTAAACATTCTGAAAAAGCTGATTAACCTGCTCCACCCTGAGAAATATAGATTAGATCTACAAAAAAAACAACAAGTCTATATGTACACAGACAGTGTATTATTAGTCATCTGTGTACTTTTGTGGTGATCCGAGAGAAAACGGGATTGATTTTAGATTGTAAGATGTTAAATCGCATTTGTCAACAATAATTTTGAACCATTGTAATACCTCAACCACATAATACAGCCAATCTCAGCTGATTTAAGAGGGACAGGACTGGCTGCATTTTAGAGGATAAGATCTCATGTGTTTTTCTTTTGTCACATAATTTGTGTGTGCTGACGTTGATTATGTGCCTGATTCTCTGATACATTTCCATACATGTTAAATTGTAGAGCACAGAGGCAGAGCTGAATGAAACACCCAGAGCTGGTAATTGAACATAACAAAACAAATCAAATTACTTCTGTTTTTAGACAGTAGCACTAGGGCAAGGGATGTGCAGACAGCCAAATCAGAAAAAGAGCATAGTAATCTGGATTGGTTAGGGGAAATCTTGGTTAAGGCAAGCACATGTTAATGTGAATGAGCTTTCCCTGAAGCCACACAGGACCGGATGCTCTGATAGGAGAGAGAGCATGAAACAAATATGATGGGTCGATGTGCCAATACAGCACAAACAATTTAACATTGCACAGGTGCAAAGACGCAGCAATTATTTCCCAATTAATGCCGGTTGTGTGATTATAGTTATGCTTTTATTTAAATATATGGTGCAGGCGAGATGTCCTCATAATTGAATTTCTCTTGGAAATGTGCCCGAAATGTGGAATGGCACAATGGATTCCTCCCCAGTGAGGTGACAGCATGCTTACTGTTCTGTTAACTCTCCCAATTAGGTCCATCCTCATAATGTTCAATGGTGCATTTTCAGTCATTTAGTGAACAAGTGTCAAGTAAATAAATCAATAATTGCACACAAAAAAGTATGTATTCATTAATGCCCGTGGTCTATAATTGTGATTGTTAAGAAACCACTACATAAAGAAGCAATGCCGGGCTAAACTATTTACATAATACATTAGTGGGACAGTGTGAGTACTAACATTCTGTGAAGTGCAGTACCTTGGAATACAATATAAACATAACTGTACATGATTATGGTAATAATTCATTATCACTGTATAGGGTTGGATCAATATCACAATTTTGATTCTGGTATCTCAGTATAGCTGATAAATTGATACCTCTGGCAACAAATGAACAGTCTTTAGCGATAAAATAAAACTAGCGATGTCAATACATTCAATAATTAAATGGCAATAATTGACATTTTTAATTTCCATCATTTTGTAGTAAAAAACTAATAATTATAATAATATTACTTATTAAATGAGCAGAATGTCAATATTGTTAGCTCTTATGAATACAATATCTTATAAATAGCTTGATAAAATAAACATTGTGTATGCAGTGTAACATCAAAAGTGACTGTATTAAAGGCATTTAATAATGACTGTCTATATTAAAATAGAAAACAATAAACAATAAAATATTTTACAATTACATTTTATACCTAACTTATTTTTGATTAGATAAATGCAAAGCATATAAGGCTTTTCCAAAAGCATTAGAAGAGTTTACCCACCCCAAACTTTTGAGCGGCATTGTATTTACTCTTTTGAAATAGGGGTAAAAATTAATGCAGAGAGCATTGTTTCTCTTTGTGCACTCCAGGAGTAGGGTCCGGGTGGCTGGTTGAGTGTAAATCCCACTGAGACACACTTGCAGCTCTGTGTCCGCCACAGAACAAAGAGAACACCCCGCCAAATCTCCTAATCCATATTATACATTACTCACAAACTCATTGACTCTCCCACAAACACACACAGTCAGTTCAGCGCAGGTAATCATCACTCATTCAAATGTACGTGAGAGGCAGGCAGACAGGCCTTTCTCTTCCCTGAACAGAGGAGATGCATCAAGACATCAGCAGCGCAGCAGGGCTTCGGCCGACAGAAGGCTGCTGTGTGCTGAGCTGGTCTTCTCTGTCAGAGAGCCATGTTCCACTGCCATCCCTCACCCAACACAACGCACAACCCTCCCTAACTCACACCACTGCTGTGCAATATGCCAAGTCGCTTTCATCCACCTCAAAGTAATTGGAGCAAACGTATGACTGAAGAGGAGCCTGTTTTTCAGGGGAGGAGGCGAAAACAGAGGACGATGATAAAAAGAAAACGACAGTGAAAAATGGGTCTCCGTTCTCGCTTTTAATTGTTATACGTAAGAGGAAACTCGTCGAGGCTCATTAGAGCCCGCTAACATATGTAGCTTTCCAGATCGCTGTCCTGTCGGTTTATTTGGCTCTGTTTGAGCCTTTGTGAGAGGAGTTATTGTTTTTTTATGGAAGCAACATCAAAGCGGCAGCGGAACGGAACACCTTTCATCAACAAAAACACACCTTTAAATGCCAAAAAACTTTGTTAATTAAAAACATTGTACTTTAATTGCTATTTAAAAAAAGGCCAATTTTGGTAATGTGATAAAAAGCCAAATCAACTTTTCAGTAACAATATTTCTGTTCAAAAAGTTAAGTAATTTTGGTCTATGCACCTGAGAGGTCCACGTGATGACCAATGGAACAGGAAGATCGGCAGCAAACTCCGGGGCCTCAGCTGGATACTGAAAAGAGAGTAAAAAAAAAGAGAGACATTGATAATCATGGTTTAAAACAGTATACGTGGTAAAAAGGTAGTAATTTAGCAGATGCTTTTATCACTCAAAATGTTAATGGAAGTCTGGTATGGTATTTTTTAAGTATAAAAGTTAAGATTTAGGTATGCAATGTGCATTAATGTTTTTATATTTATATATTCATGTTTTGTGTTATATATATATATATATATATAATTAAATATCCTTCATTGTGCTTATTCAGTGAAATACAGTATAGAAAACATGCTTAGATTATGTATAACTAGATTTGATTGTTTTAGTTGTTAAAAAGTGAAAGTATAAGAAAAAGAAAAAAAGTTTTTTTTTAAAAGAAATGACAGTAAAGACATTAATAATGTTACAAAAGATTTCTATTTCAAATGAATGCTGTTCTTTTGATCTTTCTATTCGTCAAAGACTTATATATATATATATATATATATATCACGGCTTCCACAAAAATATTCAGCTGAAGCACAACTGTTTTTAACATTGATAATAAGAAATGTTTCTTGAGCACTAAATCAGAATATTAGAACGAAGACTAATATAACTGAAGTCTGGTAATGGCTGCTGAAAATTCAGCTTTGCCATCACAGGAGTAATATATATATATATATATATATATATATATATATATATATATATATATATATATATATACAAACCTTAATTTTAATCAAATAAATGCAGCCTCGGTGAGCATAAGAGACTTCTTTCAAAAAAAAAAAAAAAGTACTGATATCATATGTATACTGTATACTATATAAACATTGAACGATAGAGTATATTATATACACTATTAATTTAAATTATATCAGGGTTCCTGCACACTTTTGAAAGTCAAATTTAAGGCTTTTTAAGACCTTTTTAAGACTTGAAGAAATCAAAATTAATACCGTACATTAGGGCTGTGCAGTATTGACAAAAATATATCTTGATATTTTCAACGTTTTGTTGATAATAATTAGATGATATTTTACTGATTGTGTTATAGGTTTGGTCTGTTTAGGTCTAGGTCTGTTGGGGTCTGTTGTTGACAGCTGACTCACGAAGATATTCATATTTTTCATATTCTATGCAGTGGTCAGTTCACAGCAGTGACAGAAATTAATATTTTAATTAAGGGGCAATATTTGCCACCTTAAATTGATTTTTTCAGGGGCATTTTCATGTTACAGTCAAATTAAATCATTCAATCAAAATCCATCTTTGCAGTGCAGAGGTGACAGAAGCGGCATCAGAAGTGGCATTAATTTATTTACACTCCATTTACAACTGCATAAATAAAGCTATGAGATATATATTTTTAAATCAATATTCAATATTTAAATATGAAATGATTTCTAATTTTAACATTTTATTTAAAGGGTACTTTAAATATGAAACCGCAGCGGCAAATCACTGTCTTAATAAGTGAGTTGAGGGAGTCATTCATTCAACCGATTCGTTCAAACGGCTGATTCATTCGGGAAAGAAGCAAGTGATTCGTTCAAAACGCGGATTTCAGTCAAGAAATAATCGCTGTCGGTTGCATTGAGACTCTGCTACGGTTTCATTTTGAAATTATAGTCGGCGAAATAAAGGGAAAACAAACAATATTGACAATATTGTGTCTAAAAAGTAACTCAATGTTAACTTATTGTTAATTTAACTGTTGTATAACATAAATATCACAATTGGAATTGTGCACGGGAAAACGGCACTCTTTCTGATGTGATATTCTAATATAAGAACATAATATGATATAAATATAAGACAAAAACTAACTTGGGGACATAACCGTTACACTGCACACATCACGCAGTGAAAGCACGAGAGACAAATGCGATGTCAGCTCGCAGTGCCTCGTACATTGTTAAAACAATGATTACAATATCATAAAATACAATACACATCGCACACCATACGCACATAAAGAATGAACTTACAACTGAACTGACATTTACGACCTTTCTTCTCCTTCTCTCCTCTCGCGTGCAGGAGACAGTTATGCTGCCGCGACTCGCGAGTGACGCGAAATGTCACGTGAACTACCAAATCCACAAAGATAGAATAATAAATAAATAAAAATACGTACGCTAATTAGATGGTTTAATTTGGAAAGCTTTTAGATATGTCTAAGTCAAAGTGTCATCTAAAATTTAAGACCTTTCATAAGTAAAAATAAGACTTTATAAGACTTTTTATGGCCTTACATTTTAAAAATCTAATTTAAGACTTTTTAAGACTTTTTAAGGATCCGCGGGAACCCTGTATATAATAAATTAATAAAATTACAATTAAAATAATATTAAGTGTATATGTAATTAATAAATTAATAATTATTTTAATTATGAATAATTTATACGTTTTTAAATTAATAAATGAATATAAATTATTTTTTATTTCAACATACCATATCCACTCTCCATGCTGAAAGACTAGGTGAGCTTTCCACTCCTGAAGGCCTTACTTATTCATCCTCTTTAAGCTTAAAATTCTCTTACATATATTTCCACACTACAACCAATAAAACAACTATGAGTATGACCCCACAACCCACATTTACACCAGCAGCAGAGATGCCTTTACTGGCTCCTGTTGAGTAAGCTGGCGCTGGGTGACGCAGGGCCTTGTGAGAGGTGCCCGGCTCTGGGAGGATGAGCAGATGTGAGGTGGGTAGATCACAGCTATTTTTAGCACCCAGCAGGATGGTGGGCAGGTGGGCACAGGGGGCTTCTCACGCCCTGCTGAATCTCATCAGGACCCCGTGCAGTGTCCGCAAGGAGCCACTGGCATCTATGCCATGTCTCCACTTCCAATGCCAAACAGAGCTCACTCACACAGCCCGACCCTCAGACTAAACTACTCACACGCCACAATTTTCTGCTTCTTCTGTGGCCCCTGTAATCACCTTATAAGGATCACTCATGGTCTTATCTATGCCACAGCATCCCTGCACACTCTCTCGCCTCTCCTTCAGGCCCTGCCACAATCTCACGGCTCCATCTCTCAACATAATCTGACAGTCACAGCACATTAGTGCCACCTGCTTAAAGTTAGATACTAAAACCAAAGTTCTGCTCCTTTTGCAGTCCAGCAGAGACTGAGGATCTAGATCTAGATTTGCCATCTTTGTGGGGTCCCAAACACGCACGAACGCACGTGCACACACACACACACACACACACAGTTCAACTACAACTACAGTTCAAAAGTTTGGGGTCAGATATTTATTTCAAATAAATGTTTTTCCTTTGAAATGTCTATTCATCAAATTAATGAAAAACTTATTGGTTTCCACAAAAAATATTAAGCAGCACAACTGTTTTCACATGAATAAATTACAGTTTAAAATTATTTATAACAGTTTGATTTTAACAATTTAAATTGTAATAATATATATATATATATATATATATATATATATATATATATATATATATAAAATATAATATTTCACAACATTTCTGTTTTTTACTGTATTTTTTTAATAATAAATAATAAAGCCTTGGTGAGCATTATGTTACTTTTGGCCCAAGATTTTTTTTAAATCTTACTGACTCAAACTTTTAAATGTATATATATAATGTATACTGTAGAGGTCAAAAGTGATATCATCCTTTATCCAAATATTATTAAACATTTGTTAAAGACTTTGAAAGCATATTTTGTAGTTGTGCTTGGAGTCAGTTGTTTTATTTGTGATAATGCAATGAAACAAGCCAAATTGTGCCACACATAATTTTTGGCCAAGCTCATAAGAAATTATGAACACAAGAGAGAATCAAGAGAGTCAACAAAATATTAATAACGGATTTTTCCTGTGAGCTTTTTGTTTTTCTATCATTTTTTTTGCATAGTAAAATAAAACCTGTGGCCTGTATACTAGCCAAAACTGGCATTTTGACATTATTTTGTGTGTATTTGACTGTTTAAGTGTAATAAGCAGCGAAAAAGAACTCAATTTAGTACTGAGAGGCGGATTTATGTGCACAAGTATGGAGGACCAGCTCTACCATATTTAAAAATAAATACAAAAATAAATAAATGCTCAATAAATAAATAAGCATACAATTAATTGCCCCAAAAAATACAATAAACAAATAAATGTAGGTAGAAATTAAATTATACAGTGAGACATAAATGTATATATCTCTTAATTAGCTTCTTTATTTATTCACCTTTGTAATAATTACCTTATTTATTTATGTGCATGTTATAATATTTGTGTCTGTTTTATTCTTCCTTTGTATTTTTTTACCCTATTTATTTCTTCAATGCTATTTATTTCTGCCTGTCGTTTTTACATTTCTGTATGCATTTCTGCCTCATTATGCAAATGAGGAGGGGCTGTCTTAGGGGGTCAACTTCTGCCCATTGGTTGGTTAGCATTTTACTGCATCGGTCGAATCTACATGGCTTTTCCCCGCCATAAAGCATTGTTTAGTAATGTCAAACTCAGCAGGCAGACGTTCAGTGTCCGACCTCTTAAGGGAAGCTGCTAATAGACTGGAAGAATTAGAACGCTGTAAGTTTAAGATCTGAAATGTTTCCTCGGGTTCCACACCACTGATACTCGAACTGGAAGCTGTTTATGTAAAAGTAAAGTAAAAGTTAGGGTTAGAGGTTAAAGGGTTAAAAGAATGTTCAAAGGACCACAGAAAAACATTTCAGATCTCAAACTTACAGCGACATTACTAAACAATGCTTTATGGCGGGGAAAAGCCATGTAGATTCGACCGATACAGTGAAATCCCATGTCGGAATTCAAGCCCTGCAACACCAACAATGTTCATCCGGAGCAAATGAAATGACTGAGTAAGGGGAGGCAGGTTTGTGTGTCAACTCTCTGTCGGAGAAATGAGAGCGAGAAAGTGCAGCTGGTATTGTGTCTCTATTCTGCGGAAAATGAGTACTGGAAGATTTTCAGATATTTTAGTAGGCCTATCGATATGTATCGAAAAATGGATATTTCTGACAACACTACATTGCACTTTATTATTTCAGATGCCTTTTTTAAAGACTTCAATTGAAAAAGGTATATATTATATATATATATAATTCAACCCGCTAAAATGGGTAGTAGGAATGACTGCGTTACACTACTGCTGAAATCCACCCATATTTGGCGGTAGTCAATGTCAAGCCCTGAGTACATGTAACGTGTAACAAGGACACAGTGAAATAAAGTTTTACCAAAAAAAGGAATAAAACAGGGCTTGACCCTTGGCTTCACCTTAGACTTGAGCTTGATTGTAATAGTGTGCTGACGACCTGCAGAGTCCTCTGCCTTCATCTTGAGTGTGCGGAACTCTGCATCGATGAAGAGCAGCCTGCCAAGACAGATCAATAGCATCACACATAAGACCACATACAACACACATCAGACAGATCAACAGTGAATATGTTGTAAATAAAAACATAACAGTGATATGTGATTTTGGTCATTCATGCTCCTCAGATGTGTATACAATCTCCCAGCAAACAGTGCTAAAAAATCAACTACAGCGACCACAGATTTATTGCTAAAATCCCAGCACTTCACGACACACTTGTATTTCAGCAGCTTATTTACGAGTCGTGTAACACAGCATGCCGTGGTTAGTTTATACATGCACACTTTGCTCTGAGTGTTCCCATCGGCAGAAACTGCAGGATCACATATCCACATTCTGTCCCTCAGCACTTAAATCCACATAACAACTCTGGAAGAACTCTCACACTCTCTTCTGCTATTACAGCAGAATATACTCTACTCACTGTACATTAAATTACAATTCAGTCGTTAATTACTCACCCTCATGTCGTTCCAAACCTGTAAGACCTTCGTTCATCTTCGGAACACAAATTAAGATATTTTTGATGACATCCGAGAGCTTTCTGACCCCCTATAGACAACAACGCACTTACCACATTCAAGGCCCAGAAAGGTAGTAAAGTCATCATTGAAATAGTCCATGTGACTACAGTGGTTCAACCTTAAGTTTATGAAGTGAGGAGAATACTTTTTGTGCGCAAAAAAAAACTTTCTTCAACATTTTCTTCTCTTCTGTGTCAGTCTAAAACGCTGTTCACGTGAGCATCATAACGCATGCGTGTGGTGCTGACGCAGGAGCCAGCCAATACTGAGCCGGTGTTCTGACGTAGAACCAGGAAGCGCTGAACTGCGTTTACAACGTGAACAGCATCAGACACCGACACGGAGGAGAATAAACTGTTAAATAAGTCATTATTTTAGTTTCTTTTGTGCACAAAAAGTATTCTCCCCGCTTCATAAAATTAAGGTTGAATCACTGTAGTCACATGGACTATTTCAACGATGTCACTCTTCTTTACTACCTTTCTGGGGCTTGAAAATGGTAATTGCGTTGTTGTCTAATACTAAGGGTCAGAAAGCTCTCGGATTTCGTCAAAAATATCTTAATTTGTGTCCCGAAGATGAACGAAGGTCTTACGGGTTTGGAATGACATGAGGGTGAGTAATTAATGACAGAAATTTCATTTTTGGGTGAACTAACCCTTTAACACAACATATTTTTTACTAACTCATGTACTCAAACATGTGTGCACGGCCCACAATTATTTCACACTTTTTATTCAATTTCCCCCCCATTTTAATTAGAAATTAAAGTGAAAAGTAGTGATGCGCATGAGCTATCAACTTAAAAAAAAATGAAATGCCTTTCCATTTGTAAATACTGTTTGCAGTTCTTACAGATCTACCTGCAAACACGCTTGATTTCTCTGTTCTACTGTTCAAAGTGATCTTAATGCTGCTCAGTCTGTTTCTCTCATAACCCATGAAGCAATGGGACGAATCTTTTGCATCACATTCAATTACATGAGCTTTTGGCACAAAATCACACCAATCATTCATTTCCTCGAAATTGAGATCTCTTTTCAGAGCTGGAACCTCATTCAGCCACTCTGCATTCTACAGGGATCTGCCGCCACAGTATCAGGCCTTGCTGGCGTTCACCTCAGTTGATTGAAACAGCTTGACGGCTCGATGTCTTGCTGGGAGGATTGATGAGAGCATTACATTTGCAACTAGAAAATCAGCTCCCCTCATAAATGGCGAAAGGAACATTTGGCATGTTTGCATACAAACAGGCCATAGATGAAAGCATAAAGCCGTACAAAAACAAAAAAACAAAGAAATCGGAATAGTAAGGGGGGAAACATAAACTGTAATATCGCCAAGGCCACTTTTTGCGAAGACTTCTCATCACAACTTTCCAGATATGCAAAAAGCCAGCTGCTGAAAATAGTACAGTTATTCCATTCTCACAGGTGCCACCAGGGATCGTGATTTTTAAGATATAACTGCTGGCTGGCGTGAGATGGTGAGAAGACCAGCCAATAGGAAACCTGCTCAGGTGTCATTATCTTGGCGGGGTGTTAAAAGACCACAGCGAGAAGCCCAGCGCTTCTCTCTCATACATGTGCAAGGTGTGACAACCTCTCACCATGGCACCTATGCACCAATTGTCTAAAAAAAAAATCTGAACAGTTTCAGATGACGATGTCAGACCAAATGCAATATCTCACAGTAAAATGGGAGCAAACTGGGATCAAAGTCAAAATATTCAACTTTCATTTTCTTATGACCTAACGCTTTGCTGCAATACTTCAATGGCACACTTAGAACGCACTATAAAGCAGCCGGAGACTGATGTTTTGTAATTTCCTAAATATCTGACTCTTTTGAACTATTCTGGGGATAAGAGGGGAGAACAGACCTGACCCCATCTATACAGTAATTAACAGTAAATGTGGCTTCTTCAAGGCAACTAAAACTCATTAAAATGACCAGGTTCTGCGGCACTTCCCCCTTCCTAAACCAATCAGGGTCCGCAACTGTGCCGGACTTGAGGCTATTAACAGAGACACGAATTAAGGATCTTAATTAATCTCAAGTGCATTTACAGATAGCGCTTGTGCATAATACTTCTGACCGCAATTCAGGTCTGAAATGTGCACCTTATTTCCAGCCTAACTTTTCAGCCTACATTTCTCCATTAAACTTGAGAGTGGGTCTCCAATTAGACCAATTTGCATTTGCTAATATCATAATTATATCTTTGGACATTAATAGAAAGTGGAAAATGAGAAGCCTAGTGAAATCACAGCTTGATACATGGCTGACAGACACCACATTAGCCTCTTGTGTTACAAAGTGAGAAATGTGACACGATGTTTTCATGAAAAGTTGACGACAGTACGTGCCATTTATGTCCTTACATTAATGCAAAGGATTTGTCCTATATGCAATTATAAGAGAACACAATCGAATGCAAGTCGAGAAAAGCACTAGGCCACTAGAAACATCATACTTATCCCATCCTAAGATCTCCATCTCGGTTATCAGCTGGGAATAATACTGAGGTGGTGAGAAGGACTGGCATCCTGGTTGACTCTTCAACGCCACTTCCTGATAATAGACAAGTTCATAATGAGAATCATTTATTCAATCTGCGGGACTCATGTTCTTATTATGGTAATATGATGCTAAACATTACATCATGTATAACATTTGTCAACATGAATATGGTAATGTTCAACTCCAGGGATAAAACATGCAATATTTTAGCAATACTTACCAATACTGTTCTGAGTTCCAGAATAAAAGCCATCAAATTAGTTGAATGCTGTAATCTCTGAAAAAATAAATAAATAATGCAATTCAAATGTTTTGATTATACTACTACATACAAAATAGCAAAACCAGCACCTGTCATTTGACTAATGAGAGTGACCATTAGAGTTAATTTTTAATAATTTTAAATTCATAAGAAAATAATGAACTTTAACTAGTTGGGGTACTGCATAAATCTAGGCAGGGCAAATCATAAATCTAATCTTTTCACCCTAGAGGCACATGGATGGAAAATGATTTTTTTTCTCCCCTCGACAAACATTATGTGTTAATTAAGACGTATTTCTTGAATGATGAGAAATAGCTGCGAACTATTTGCCTTTGATTTATTGTACCTGCTTCACAATATGTTGATAACCATGAAGTAGCCGTTTCATTTGCCAGCAACAATGTAATCTGCAAAACAGTCAAAGACAAGCCAAAGAAAATGACAATAATAATAATACCTAAACCTTTGAAATCATGTATATTAACAAAATAATTTATGCAAAGTTAGTGTTTATATATGATTTAACAATTGTACTGGCTCGTGAAAAAGTCCTTGTTAAAAATGTAAAACTTAAGTCAAAGCACTTTATCAAAAATATTTATTATGTGGAATATATATACAAATTATTATTATTATATTTTTTTTTACAAAAAAACATATGACCGTATCATGTATCTGGTCCAATGTTATTTACATGTGTTACATACATGTTGTTTACATTTGTTATATTACATTGTGTTGGTATTCTTGGATATTTACATATTTGGTATTCTTGGATATTTACATAAATATGATATTTACATAAATATAAATAAATAAATAATACACTCATCAAATAAACCATATTATTACAATCATACTTTGCCTGTTTCATCTGATGATCAGGGGGTAGAGATATTCTTATCCTGAAGTCTTTTTCCTGTCAAAGATTAAATAATAAGAAAAATGTGACACTTGTGACAATCGGTTCAACTGCTGTTATGCGATTCACATGGCATAACATATTCACACTGTAAACGTATATTCACACTTAGTTAAAGACTGTGAAGCTTTGAGATGTGAAACTTTCCTTACCAGCACTGTGATGAACCCGTCATAGACTGTCTTCTCCTTATTAAGCGCAATGATCATAGGGCTTTCTCTCATCAGCAAACAGCTCATGATGAAAAATAAATACGTCAAAGCACAGGATGACTATAAACCGCTAGCTAAACACTTAGATGTCTGTCTCGATAGTAAACTTAATCATATAAACACAAACAGAAGCTTTTTGTGCAGATAACAGTCAATCGCTGATATCATGAGCTTCTTCCGCTGTTGTTGTTGTGATGCACTGCAGGCAAAGCGAAAGTAACTTCCCGCAAAAAAACTCAAACGTCAATGACGTCATAAAAGTTTGAATGACCAAACTTTATTTGAACACATTTGCAAACGAATTTAACCAAATAAGGCTTTTTGTCTTTGAACAGTTAGGATTTGAAAAAAAACAAATCAGTGTTACATTTTCTGCTATGTACACGTACAGAATTTCTCAACATCTTGTAAAGTAAAAGTTGTATTGCCCACTGTAGCCTAGGAAGTTTAGGATTACTTAATCACTTGATGGATGTTTATATTAGCTTCCTTCAATTAAAGAGAGCGGCCAAACGAGTGAAAGCGTAACAGGTAGGTCAAAACTTTTGTACACTTGCCTGACGCATCGTCATTGTAGTAGCAGCATTTTGCCGCAGTAAAACACTTTTTTTTAAATGACTTTTCTTTCTCTCAACTACAATTCCAGTATCGTCATTTTGTTGTAGCCTATCTGTTGGAACAAGTGAACACAAAAGATATGCTTTCAAATTTGTATGTTTTGTTAAACTGTGTTGAGCCTTTCATTCGATATTCTTATGCACTGTAGAAAGAATAGGCCTACATTTGCCTTGGTTGTATGTATAGGCCTAATTTTGTATTCAATAAAAAAAAAAGAAAAAAAAAAAGAACAACACAATAAACCCCATTGGCATACATTAGACGAGAGTGCACTAATGAAGGTATTTTTTAACTGTTTATAATGTCATCGTGTGATAACGAAAATATGACTATGAAAACATTTTTTGACTCTGGCCTAGACTACTTGTCAGTGTTGCCAACTATTTTCAAAGGAAAGTAGCTAAGGCCTTCCCTAAAAGTCGCTAAATGTCGCTAGATGACGTCATACGTCAATTAGCATATTAATGACGTCATCGCGTCGTACTTGCGTTCTGTCAGCCTAGTGCGTTTTCTCTCTAAATTATTGCTCTATTTAACATAATATAGCCGAATGTCAAATAAAGCTGTTTTCATTTCCTTTTTTTTTTGTCAGACAATAGAACGAGTAGCTATAATATAGTGAATGATTACATTTTTTATTGGCCTATGTGGAACATTATCTGAATTGAGAGAGTTAGGGAACCGGATGAACTAAGCTCTGTGATAGTGAGTGTTACAAGTAATAAGCACAAGAAAATAAATAAAAATTAAAATGGTCAAACTAAATTCTTTAAATATAACAAAAGAAAAGCAGATAAGTGATAAGTCCATGGAAAAACACTGCTCATTCGCGTCTGTCAGCGGCCGTGCGCTCCTCTCAGCCATTCACTGAACAGGGGAGACGCAGCGAGAGAGAGTGACGACAGGGAGAAAGCAAGACCTCGCGCTCGCAGGACAGTACTGGCAACATTTGGAGGTTACTGAGGTTTGTCCAAAAAGTCGCTAAAATTGTCGCTAGTCGCTTTTTTGAAAAAATGTCGCTAAAGGGGTCTGAAAAGTCGCTAAAAATAGCGAAAAGGCGCTAAGTTGGCAACACTGCTACTTGTTCTGAGCAGGTGTTGTCAGTGAACAGGCTGTAAAACTAGTTAGGCTACAGACACGTGAAAAACTGATGCTGATTAGCCTATCTGGGAAACATTCTCTAACAGCAGTCAAGTTGTCATTGTTTGTGTCAAACAAGTTGTGAATTTGTTGTAACATTAAAACAGGAGATCATGACTTACTCTGTGCTCAAAGTGATGCTCGGAGCTCCAGTGGTTTCCTCTGTAGGTGCCCTGCTTCTTGACAATTATATTTTCAGGTAGGGGCAGGTTGTCACATGTTTTAAATGCTATAAAGTCATATACAGGTCCTTCTCAAAAAATTAGCATATTGTGATAAAGTTCATTATTTTCCATAATGTAATGATAAAAATTAAACTTTCATATATTTTAGATTCATTGCACACCAACTGAAATATTTCAGGTCTTTTATTGTTTTAATACTGATGATTTTGGCATACAGCTCATGAAAACCCAAAATTCCTATCTCAAAAAATTAGCATATCATGAAAAGGGTCTCTAAACGAGCTATTAACCTAATCATCTGAATCAACTAATTAACTCTAAACACCTGCAAAAGATTCCTGAGGCTTTTAAAAACTCCCAGCCTGTTTCATTACTCAACACCGCAATCATGGGTAAGACTGCCGACCTGAAGGCCATCATTGACACCCTCAAGCAAGAGGGTAAGACAGACAGAAAGACATTTCTGAACAAATAGGCTGTTCCCAGAGTGCTGTATCAAGGCACCTCAGTGGGAAGTCTGTGGGAAGGAATAAGTGTGGCAAAATACGCTGCACAACGAGAAGAGGTGACCGGACCCTGAGGAAGATTGTGGAGAAGGACCGATTCCAGACCTTGGGGGACCTGCGGAAGCAGTGGACTGAGTCTGGAGTAGAAACATCCAGAGCCACCGTGCACAGGCGTGTGCAGGAAATGGGCTACAGGTGCCGCATTCCCCAGGTCAAGCCACTTTTGAACCAGAAACAGCGGCAGAAGCGCCTGACCTGGGCTACACAGAAGCAGCACTGGACTGTTGCTCAGTTTTGCATGTCATTCGGAAATCAAGGTGCCAGAGTCTGGAGGAAGACTGGGGAGAAGGAAATGCCAAAATGCCTGAAGTTCAGTGTCAAGTACCCACAGTCAGTGATGGTCTGGGGTGCCATGTCAGCTGCTGGTGTTGGTGCACTGTGTTTTATCAAGGGCAGGGTCAATGCAGCTAGCTATCAGGAGATTTTGGAGCACTTCATGCTTCCATCTGCTGAAAAGCTTTATGGAGATGAAGATTTCATTTTTCAGCACGACCTGGCACCTGCTCACAGTGCCAAAACCACTGGTAAATGGTTTACTGACCATGGTATTACTGTGCACAATTGGCCTGCCAGCTCTCCTGACCTGAACCCCATAGAGAATCTGTGGGATATTGTGAAGAGAAAGTTCAGAGATGCAAGACCCAACACTCTGGATGAGCTTTAAGGCCGCTATCGAAGCATCCTGGGCCTCCATAACACCTCAGCAGTGCCACAGGCTGATTGCCTCCATGCCACGCCGCATTGAAGCAGTCATTTCTGCAAAAGGATTCCCGACCAAGTATTGACTATTGAGTGCATAACTGAACATAATTATTTGAAGGTTGACTTTTTTTTTTTGGTATTAAAAACACTTCTTTTATTGGTCGGATGAAATATGCTAATTTTTTGAGACAGGAATTTTGGGTTTTCATGAGCTGTATGCCAAAATCACCAGTATTAAAACAATAAAAGACCTGAAATATTTCAGTTGGTGTGCAATGAATCTAAAATATGTGAAAGTTTATTTTTTATCATTACATTATGGAAAATAATGAACTTTATCACAATATGCTAATTTTTTGAGAAGGACCTGTAGTACTGTAGTAATTACTATATTTGTGGAAATCATTCGATGTTTTTGTATGTTACCTTTTGCATTTTGCTGATTCATGAACAGTTTTGTATTTCACATTTTTTAACTTGCTAATTTCCTGTTACTAATGTTGCTGTTGCAAAGTGTATCGCCGGTTAAGGCAGTGGTTTTTAACCTTTTTGATTTGATGGACTCATTTTTCGAAGGCCCAAGACATTTTATGTATTTCTTCTGTAATATGACGCATGCTTGTTTTCTTTTCTTTTTCAAAAACTGGGAATGTTTGTTTATTAAAATAATCGCGATTCATTTTGTGTTTCCAAAAGTTTCAAGAACTGTGTGGTCAATAGTTTTTTTTTTTTTTTTTTCTGAGGGGCTGAAATATGATTTAAAAAAAAGTATAAATGTGTTTTTGCCTATAAAACAGATATGTTAGATTATTAATTTAACTACATTAAAGTCTTCCATGTGAAATCCTAAGGCAGCGGTGTCCAAACTCGGTCCTGGAGGGCCACTGTCCTGCAGAGTTTAGCTCCAACTTGTAGCCAGGATTATGGTGTTATACGGAAACTAATTCTGAGAAATTTTCACTGGAGTAAATGGTGTGGCACCTAGCCTCAATCCCCTGCATTTCAGTTGTTTTCTGACAGGTTTCCTTTGTGGCAACACTCCAACCATTCCTCCTGATCATATTTTTGCTCAAACAGACTATAGAATATCTTTCATTAATATAGTGTGGATATATATAATGTGAAATATAACTTTCCCATGCCCTTGTCACTTTCTGCCATACTCTGATATTGTGGATGCAGATTCCACTTTCATTAAACTTTTCAGTATAATGCACAAACAGTATAGTGTTTTCTTTGTCCAAAAATGCTCAAATATTCAGTAAAGCTGCCTTTAAGCAAACACATATCATTACAGCTGAGAGCCCTGTATTGGAGTGTGTGATTGTATATTGCTTGTGTAGAGTGTCAAGCGTACGTGCTACACATTGTGCCTGGAGAGATTGATGTTTTGTCATCCACCTGCTTCTAAGCTGTAAAAGCAAGCGCAGCAAAGGCAAACCTACCCAGCTTCAAAATCCAAACAAAGAAATCTTAGTGGGCTGTTTACATATCTGTGGAAGGATATCTGGGCTTGTGTTGACGGGGTGCTAGAGTGGTTGAGAGATCAGTCCCCGCACAATGGGTGAGTGTTAAATGCTTTTTTTTGTTTGCGACAGTGAGGAACAATTTAAAGCGATTTTTGGCTCTGGCTGTGGTTTGGAAGAGGGTGAGCCTGGCAACCTCACATAGGGAGAGAGAGAGAGAGAGGTGTTCCTCTTTCCCGTCACATGCAGATTGTTACAGCGTACACTGCACAGGGTTAATGGCAATCCTGAAAAAAAGGATTTAAACAATGATGCTTTTCGGAATTGCTGGAGAAACGCGGATTATTTCTTTCCCCCTGCTACTGCCTTATTGCTGCGGCATCTGCCTTTCTTTTATACCTTTTGAGGAGCGTGATCTATTGTGCATTGTTTATCTCCAGCCATGGTCACTTCTCTGGAATGCAATTGGCTGGAACTACATCGTGTGGGTCTTGCTCCCTGCTTTTTTTC